GGTACGAGGCACCGAGAGGAACGGATGACAGCCGGTACACTGGCTTTGGCGCTTAACCTCGCCGTGGCTTTCCGGTGGCCGAGATCTCCAGGAATCCCGGCTGTGGGGGCACGGCCAAGGCACAGCCTGGCTGTTGGCCAGGGATAAGGACGTTGCCTCTGGTTTTACGCTGCTTTCCTCAGAACCGGGAGCAGCGGCAGTGGAACCTGCTGCTGCTCAGCACCGAGTGAAGTGAGACCGGATCGATCCACCGTTACTAGAGCAAGCCAAGAAATGGCTCATGCTTTGACTCCTGCCCTTAACATCACAAAGCAACAAGTTCTGTGGTTCTTAGTGACTATCAAACGGTTAGAATTGCCTTCTTGAAGAGACAATGTCAGATAGTTTTGTCAAAAGAGCCTTGGAATTCTTTAATTTCTGTAGTTGAAGGACTCGGTATATTGAGTCTGAAAGAGTCCAGATTGCCTTTAGAAATGTGAATTAAAAGAGTTTCTAGGAATGCCTGGAAGAAAAAATATTTTCCTCTTATGTTCAATTTGCTGAACTTCTGCAAATATTGAACTCGTGTTTCAATTACTGATACAAAGGATCTAATCCAAAGTCAAAACATCTTTGCTTCTGGTGTCTTTCCTTCTGAAACCCTGGGTTGTTTTGTTTCCCATTTCTGTGAGCCTAAACAGGATCTGTATTTCTAGAACATTAAAAGTTTAAGCAGGGAGTTTAAAGGGAACATCATGTTTAACTTCTAGGATTGTATTTCTTGGGTCTTCTGCTTTTCTTCTATAATGTGTTACCTCTAATAAATGTGGCTTCATATCTAGCTGTTCTACAAAAGCAAGCTTTTTTCTCCAAACACTGTAATCATTCTTCCCTTTGCAGTTACAATTAAATTATCTTGGGACAATAGGTATATAATATTTGTTTAAATGACTGTATTAATAATTAAGATCTCCTTTTTGTGCTAGCTGGGTTAATATTTCAAACATATTGCTGTATCCCTTATCAAATCTGTTTTCCTTTCCAGTGACTAACAAAAGTCCAGTCATTCTGATGTGTAGATTTCTGCTGCGGATGGCAACTTGTTCATGTTGCTTTATTTTTTTAATTGTATATGTTCTACTACACATCTTGTTTATCTTTTGCAATTCTTTGTGTAAGGAAGTTTCTTGTAGCAAGTCCTTCAGTAATTCTTGAGTCTTTTCTCCTGCTGTCATAAGGTTAAGATTTTTTTTTTTAAAAAGCAAACCAAAACCCTTGAAATCTTTCAGTGTCTGTCTTTTGTGCTAGGCCTGCTGGACAGATTACTTTCTCAAGATTTCTTTTGAAGCATAGTGACTGCTTTCTATAAACAATCTTCAATTTGTGTGGCTTTCATTATGTGCTCTATTTGTATTACTCGTATCCTACTGCTAGAAGTGTGGTTAACTGCTGCCCTGCACACAGTTTGCAACTGTGATAAGTGTTGTGCATGTTCATTTTAATAGCTGGATCAAGATACTGTAAATTCTTTATATTGGCTCTCATTTCTGTGTTTGTGCTATTGACCTACTCTGTCAGTCACCTGATAACTGATGACATAAGTGACTGTGCAGCGTTCATGTTTGGATTGCTCATTACCTTGAAGCATATAGTGTCGTAACTGATGGCCTCTGACAGATCAGTAAATGTTATGAATATTTAGAATCTGTAATTTTCAGGCACACTCTAAAAAAGGCTTGCTTTGCAGCATAGCAGGAAGATCTGGCCTTTTCTCTTTATGCCTTTAATGTCTCTTAAAGGCACTCTGAGGATTAAGAGTGCAGTGGGGTATTCTCTGTGTAGAATTTAGCTTTTATTATCTGACTGTGATTTTGGTAGCATCCATTAAGACTGTTCTGGTAGAGTGAGGAAGTATCTAATTAGCTTTGATCAGGACACTAGTCAAAAAAGTCTTTGCCTAAAGGCATAATTCTGCTGAGCTTGAAAGAGGGAGACATGGATCTGTGAATAGGGTGGCAGCATCCTACTTGGTATTTGACTTAAAGCCAGATGCAATACAGCAAGATTTTTGCTGAAAGCTGAAATGCAAATATCTATTGTATGCTTATTGTTGGACATGGCAACTGTTTTCCAAGATGCTTTGTCACTTGCTATGTTGGAACTGACCACTGGAACTTCAAAGACAATTAACTCTTTCTAATCCCCTGCCTTTTTGCTGTAATTTTGTGCATGGATGTCTTAAAGAGTATACCTGGTATATTGTAGAAAGTACTTATGTTTCATGGAGAACTGTTTGAATCCCCTTCTTCACTAGAAATGTGATGGAGTAGGTGCCACTGGTGGAACAGAACAGCATGTTGCTGTGTTGAATGGAACATAAATTGATCAGCTTCATAGAAAAAAGGGGCCTGTAGTGTAGCCAGGCATTTGCTCTAAATAACACTTTGCTTTGTCTCTAGAATTGTTGAATAACAAGTTTATTCTGGCCCTGTTGTAACCTGCTAATTGTTCTGCTCTTTTCACCCACAGGTTGTGACTGTTTCTCTTCTGTCATTTGTGTGGAAAGTGCCACACACACTCCAGAACAACAACGGCTTTTGCTTGCATATTCCAGTGTTTCTTTTGTCAGCGAGTTCAGCAAAGTTGTAATTCTTCAAGTGCCAGCCCTGAGCTGAGTGAGGAGCCACCAGCAGAGATGGTAAAAATGACAAAATCAAAAACGTTCCAGGCTTACCTGCCAAACTGTCATCGAACCTACAGCTGTATCCACTGCAGAGCCCACCTAGCCAATCATGATGAATTGATCTCTAAGGCAAGTGGTTTGTTTAGAGACCTCATGAATTATTTCTTAACTAAAATGATTATCACTGTATCACTGCTCCCAGCAGATAAGGGATGCAAATTGATGCATCCTTTAGAGTATCTTCACTGGGTTCACTCTTGTGTCATACATGTTTTGTACTGAGGACTGGATATATTCTGGAAACTTTTGAATGTGGCATAAAAGCTGATCTAATATATTCCCCATATTAACAGTCTCTCTCTACTGTCAGGTAGGTACTATTTGTGAGCTGCCATACCTGAAAAGTCTGCTAAGGAAAACTTGTCAGAAGATAACACGGATCTCTGGGTAGTGAAATTATTCTGGGCATGGTTATTCCAGATAAAGATTATTTTTGACTGTTTAGTTGAAGGTCACAAAACTGTCTGTTTCCAGAATGTTCCAATGCTATTATGGAATTTGTAAACACATTTACTTCTGCTGTATACCAGTTCTTAAGAGATGTGAGTAGCCAGAGATGTTCAAAACAGTTGGACTGTCTAAACTTAAGCTTAGAGGATATGTGGATCCTTGAAACAGGCTAGGCCTGTCCTTCTTGCCTGTTGCTGGAAGAAACCAAGATTTGTGATGTATGAAGTAACGTAGGAAAACTTGAAGTTTGGGATAAATACTTGACAGACTGTCTCTTTCTTAAAATAAGCTCCTGATGTATTTTCTCTTCATAGTGTCCTGGGGAAAACACTTTGGTTGCTTTTACTGCAAGTTGCTTTCTGTATAACTACGTTGTCAAATAAAATGTTTAGTGGCAAACCCTTTATAGCTAATTTTATCTGTTGCTCCTGCCTGTTTGTGTGTTCAGCAGCACTAAGGTGATGCTCTTGAGTGCTGCTACTTCTGAATTGAGGTTTTCTTTGAGGAGAAAGTATACCTGTTCGCTTATCCCTTAGAAGAGGTATTGGGAAATGAGTTTTCCCCATACAGTCTTTTTTGTTACTAATATTTTTGATCTTTGTATAGATCTCAAGACAACTTTTTGATTCAAATAGTGAAATTTGTGACAGTCCTTGGCAGTGTGCTTACTGCTTGCTTTTAGTCTCTTCCCCTAAACAATTCTTTCCCTCAACATGGTACATGGATTGAGGCGTGGAACTGCAAGTATGACACATCAAATGTGAAATAGTGAGCTAGCTACATACATAAAATGACATGAAGAAAGTAGGAGGAAGGACTTGCTTTACTTGTATTAATCTGAAAAAAGTTCCTCACTTTCCTTCTAGTGATTGATCTTGTTTTGTTTTAAGGGCAGCAAAAACAAGGGAAAAATTCAGATAGTAATGTGAATACATTTCAATTTAATTTGTTTCCAGGTTGATTTCAGAACCTAAGGGGTCCTCTTGGCAGCACTGGATTCTAAATTGCAAGCAATAATAGCTTCATTATTCACTACATGTTCTGGGCCAAAAACTAGCGGGAGAGGTTAATCTTTCCTGAACTTCAGGTTGTAGATGCCTGCAGGAAGAATGAAACTTTGCTAGCTGTGTCTCTGAAGATGTATAAATTCACTGAGAAGTGCACATACTTAATAGGAAGCTCTTCTTTTAGAGGACTTACATTTTTGCATGTCAACTAAACTGCCACAGTTACCACACAAGCCAGTTCTCCAATGTCGTGGGAGTTTTGGTCAGCAGAACATTTTGAGTAGGTTCTTAAGCAAATCATGTGTTCCTATTGCAACTTCATAAGTAATTTAAAACATAAAAAAATTTCAATTCAAAGAACATGGAGAACTCAAAAAAAAGTCTATTTAGTAAATACAAATACAAAGTTGTTTCTAATGGTGTTGGGAAGGGTATTAGATATGGATTCTGATTTACTTCTGGCTTCCATAATTCTCAATGAAGACATCTTACAAAAGTTTCTGTACTTCCAGGTTGACCATAGCTTATTTGACAGCTGATCCATATTCTGTCAACTTAAGTTTTCTTGACCATACCTTATTATCTATATCTGTGTGATAATAAGAAATACATTTAAATGTGAGGTGTATCTTTTTGTATGCTTGTAAAATAAAAATAACATTTCTCATCTATTGTACTCGTATTTGGAACATAGCTTTAAAAAACTCACTCTCCTTTAAGCTTAGCTTTTATATATTCCAACACTGGAGTTCTTCTGATGGAAAGAACTGCAAATCAATAGTTAGATACACTTAGAGCATTAAAAATAAGTAGTGCTGTTCTGGGGGGTGGCAGGGGGAATGGTGAGAGGAAATAAGATTTGATTTATTCTAAATGAAAACACAGGTTAACCTGGAAAATAAAAACTGGAGAAATACCCTAGGAAACATGTGTAGATGTAACTTGGGCTAACAGATGGGTGTACCTCAGAATAGGTTTTTTTATAACATTTTTCTGAAGGTCTTGTAAAGTGCTTTCATTGTTGCACATTGTGTGCAATGAACTTAGGTTAATGAGATAGTTATAGTAACAATATATAGAATTCTAGTTACTGTAACTGCCCAGCTGCAGCAAAAAGACTTAAAATAACCTGAAGTGTAGTAAGTTGATTCTATACAATCTAAAGTTAACTAAGAACAGTAGTCCCTGTGCTGTTTTAGATTTATTGATGGAGCAGAGAATTGGACTGCTCAACCTGATTTCCCCACCCGCCCTTACCTCAGGGGCATAGTTAAAAGCTAAGCTCTGGGTAAACATTAAATTACAATTTTTAGTTACCAGTTGTCTTGCTTTTTTTTTTTTCAAATGCTTACTGTGCAGTATCACTCCTGAACACCAATGCCACAAATACTCTTCAGCAGATCAAGGCAAATGGTATGTGGTGCCTAGCTGTAACTGCTTCATTTGGGTGTGCAGCCCCCTGCCATGCATTTCCTGGATGCATGGTGATTGTAGCTTCTTCTGTGTGGTCAGGGGAAAAAGGGCCAAAATACATGGTGCACTCTTAATTTAAAGGAGCTACCACTAGCTTTCTGATGTGCTTTGAGGTATAAGCATTTGTTATACTTGACACTATGTTTTCAACTTCAAGATAAAAGATAAGCTATGCTGTGAAATGAGCAGTGTTTCTCTTAAATGTTGGTCTGTCAGAGTGCTGCATATTTCTGTCAGTTGTCCCTTTGATTCTAGTTCTCAGAATACCAGACTTCAATATAGATTGGCAGCTCTGCTTTTGAGAACTGTTGATGCCAGTTGTCTGACAAGGATGGCAGCATTACACGAATCACCTTTTCATTTGATTTCTGTTCTGTTTGAGCAGTAGGATTGCTCTCCTTTGCCTTAGAATTAATCATCAAGCTCTCTTTTTCTTGTGCCCTTGCTGGTGATAAAATGGCAACCAAGAGTCTTAGCAATGGCTTAGAAATAAGAATGCAGACTAATAACACAGTATAAAAGTGTGCTACCTGCACAAGTGAATTCATTGGTAATTGTTGTTGTGGCTTTCTCTGCAACTATGAAAGGACTCAATGTGTTGCCCTGTGTTGAAATCCACTTGGGTTGTAGTGTACACTTCTAGATATTTCTGCTCTATAACCTGTGTTTTCTGGGTCTGGGGAGGAACATGGGGAAATGGAAGGAATGGGAAGAAGGCTGGTTGAGAACAGGAGTCCCCAACTAGGAGATCAGCAGCAGCAGAGATGTTGACAAGCATTAGTCTGTACAGCTGAACACATGTACACATATATTAACAGTTATTTATCATCCAGATCATTTTTGGGGGGAAAACACTAATTTGAAGGATACATAATCAAAGAACTAATAAACTGTAGATGTCTTTTAATTGAAGTAAATGTAACTTTGAAGTGGTGTTTGGTACCTCTTAGACACTACTGATCTGCATTGTTACCAAGTCTGCTAGTGCTGGATCTTATGTTTCTTTGGCAAAGCCTTCAAAGTGAACATTAAACAGTTTTAGAAGCTATTAGGAGTATGTATACCAGTTTTCACTACATGGAGGGGCATTCAGAGGACAGGGGAAGACCTTGCAGCTTTTTTTTTCTTTCTTTAAAGATGCAAATGGATATTTTTAGAATTATATTTTACTGTGACTACAGGCATAGGAGAGAAGTAACCTCTATCAACAAGCAACCACAGGTGTTAACAGAGCAAGGCAAAAAAATTGAGGCCATAGGAGGCACTTGTTGAATTTAAAATGTTTATATAGCACATAAAAAACAACCAAACAATGTATGTTAATAACCATAATAACTTTAAAAATCCCAACAGCTAAAAAAATTCCATCATTAAGTTTTGAGGGAAAACTTCTACAAGACGATTTGAAGTCCAGGGGAGGCTGCTGCTTGTGTGGCCTGTACAAAGTTTTACATGGGTGATGCTCTTAAAGTGATTCTAAAATAAATTTTGTGAAAGGCTTAACTGACAGAGCTTTCTTCTAATTTGTTTGTAAATGGTAGAGAATGTGCAATAATTATTAACAGCAGTTAATTTTATAAGAGGCAAATGGTGCTTGAAGAGCATAGGTCCCAAAGCACTTGAGAATGGCTTGTACCCACTAAGTTCCAGTAATTGTTTAGAAATTCAGTCAAGGTCCAACAAATTACAAAGAAATACAAATACCTAATAGAAATCCTGTAACCTGGTGGATATATTGCAAAGGATAATGCTTTGTTCCTCAAGGCTGACCTGCTTGAAAGACTGTTACATCATTTTACAATGTGCCTTAATGCTGGGGATGGATGAAAATCTGGATTACTTTGTATAGATGCCCATATAAATACTGTCACTTTCTTCTGTCTCATTCATTGCAAAGCATGTCTGACCAGAGGGGGGGAAAGTCATATGAAATCATAGACAAGACTACATGTGTCAATATTTTCAAGAACAAGTTCTGCATAAAGGTGTATATATATGTAACTGTCACTGAATTCACTGGGAAATCCTTGCACAACAATTTTGGTGGTTAAATTTAGTTCTTCAAGGCACTCAGTATGTCTGCTGTTACATTATTGATGAGAAGGAAGTGTGTTCAGCTTAAACAGATGCCAAAACATT